CTCTGAATGTCAACGTGAAGAAATTCAAGCAAGCGCGGGTAAACGGCGGGAGTAACTATGACTCTCCGAGGTGGATCCTTGGCGCCGTGGTGCGCGCGTTAAACGATAATACCGATCGCTGAGGTCCTGATAGCCTCTTAACGGGGCGCAGCGGGGTCGCCTGCTCGCGTCCCGGCCCTAACGGGAGGAGATAGTGTGTGCTCCTCTCTCAACGGAGCAAAGTGTGGTGGTTGGGAAACCGCCAGCCATTTTTCAGCCACTTCAATACACGATCTCTGTTGAGTTAGTAAATGGGGTTTGTGTGCCTGGGTGACCCTTTCCAGACACGCAGACTCAACTCCTACCCGAGGCCTGCACGTGGCACCGCCGCTTATAACTGACACGGGAGGGGGGGACGTGCCTAAATTAGTATGCCCCGGAGATGGCTGTTGCGGGGTGACCGCCTCGTTGGCACATTCCTAATTCTGCGAGGCCCAGCGCGTTTCCACTATAGTCTCCCGTTCGGCTGTCTCTTCGCGGCTTTCAGTCGTGTTGTTGGCAGTCGGACGGGAGACTTTAGTCAGGCTTGTGAACCGGGTTTGCTAGATTCGTCTAGTATGCGCAGCGTCCTAGATCATGGGGCGTAATCCGGGCTAGGTTCGGGTGAGATTCCTGAATAGTCCCATCGGGTGGCAATATGTCGCCAAGTCGAACCGCTGACTTCGGTCGGGACAATACGAGATGCGGTAGGCGAACCAGGTGGCTGGGCTTGCACCCCGGCCACATTGGGCACAAACACAAGCAATGGACAAAGTAAGGAATGAAAATGATTTATTTTGCCACCCTGGCCTCCCACAGGAGCCGGGGAGCTTGGCCCAATCTTCGGCCGCTCAAGCTGGGGCTCCGGCCACAGTTTCCGCGGTCATTGACTGGACTTGTCCGGTGTGTGGACGTGCGTTCACCACCAAAACGGGGTTAGGGGTCCACAAGCGTAGGGCCCACCCCGAAGTAGCAAATGCGGAGGCCGCTCCAAATATGGTGAAGCGCAGGTGGCGCGATGAGGAGCTGGCATTGATGGCGCGTACAGAGGCGCGATTACTGGAGGAGACCGGACGATGTACGAACGCAGACCTGTACAAAAGCCTGTCGGGGTCCGAGCGGACCCTAGAGGCAATCAAAGGAAAGAGGCGCTGTGGGGAGTATAAGATCCTGGTACAAGCGTGCCGGGAAGAGTACAGATCCCCACCAATAAGCAGCCAAGCGCCAGAGAACAGGGGTTCGACACGGCCGGAATCTGAAAGTGTCGAGATGCCGGTCCAGCCTCTGCCAGTTGAAGACGCACCGCCTGTCGCCGATGATCCATCACCGCACTTAGGTGGTGCCCCAGATAACACGTGTGCAGACCAAATTGTCGCGGATCTTCTAGCGAGGGCCGCGGTGAGGAGGTCGCGACACGGCCTGGGTTCCCGTAGTGCGAGGCGGCACCGCATACCGAACGTGACTCGGGCCGACACCGCACTGGCCGGTTTGTCGAGCCGCAAGAGGAGGAGAATAGAGTACGCCAGGGTACAGGAACTATTCCAGAAGTGTCGCAGTCGAGCAGCAGCCGAGGTGATCGATGGAGTGCACAGGAGCGTCCGGCACTCTCTCGAAGATTTGGAAGCCTATTGGCGACCGGTCCTAGAGAGGGTGTCTGATGCCTCAGGGCCTACACCGTCTGCTCTAAACGCCTTACGGCGGGAGGAGCAGTATGGGGGCGCACGCGATTACTCTCGGCTGTGGATGCCTTTCACGACCGACGAAGTGAAGGCGTCCAAGTTTGACTGGCAGACAGCGCCTGGTCCGGACGGTATCCGTCCGGATGAGTGGCGCCTAGTTCCTGCGGCCCGAAAAGCGGAAATTTTCAACTCTTGGTTGACCACTGGCGTAATACCAGAGCCCCTGCGGCAATGCCGGACGGTCTTCGTGCCGAAGATGGATGATCCTGCTGGGCCGGGCGACTATCGACCGATTTCGATCGCCTCGATACCGCTTAGGCACATGCACTCGATCCTGGCGAGAAGGCTTCTGGATTGCTGCCCCCCCGATGCACGACAGCGTGGATTCGTCCGCGCCGACGGCACGTTGGAGAATTCCGCCGTGCTGGACGCGGTGCTAGGGGATAGCAGGAAAAAGTTAAGAGAGTGTCATGTGGCTATTCTCGATTTCGCGAAGGCGTTCGACACAGTGTCTCATAGAGCGCTGGTCGGGCTTCTTCGGGCTCGAGGGTTGCCCGTGGCATTCTGTGATTACATCCACCGGCTGTACGACGCGGCGACCACCAAGTTGGACGTCGGCGGGCAGTCGGGTGAACCTGTTAGATTGGGCCGAGGTGTGCGTCAGGGAGACCCGTTGTCGCCCATCCTGTTCAACATGGCGATGGACGTAATTCTTGCTGCTCTACCGAAAGAGGTAGGCTATAGGCTGGAGATGGAGCGAGTCTCGGCTCTAGCCTATGCCGATGACCTAGTCCTGCTTGCAG